ATAAAGGTATTTGTTTCATGTGAGCACAAAATGTAAATTTTACTCCACTACCTAGTTTATATAAAAATTCAATAAAAATATTTCTATTTATGCTACATGCATGAAACTTCGGGTACTTGTAGATCATAACCGTGTCTTTCAGTCATATACATAAAATGTTTTGACATATTTGAAATTTGAACCGCTAAATACATTTATGCATAATTGCAACATTTTTTTATATCATAATTTAAGTAAATTTATGCGAGTAAATCGTTAACCAAGCTCCGGATGAAATTGAAATTGGTATCGCTGGAAAGCAGAAGTCCTCCTCTTTCGAACGATGCAATTTCTGTTTCCCGCGATGTATAGTTTGAGAGATATAAGCGTTTGAAACAACACCACTCGAAATTGCTACTTTTCGACCGGATGGGAATGAGTTAAATTACAGACTATTTTGTTTAAGGGGTGGACCATTTGATTTTTGAGGGGGGGTGGAAGATTCAGGCTGTGTAAGAAACTAAATGCTATCATTTATTGATTTAATTCTTTCTTAACATCAGTTTTCATGAACCAAACATTAACCCTTTAAGGTGGCTCCCTATAGTTTCTTGAAATCTGGAAAATTTGTGATTTGGATCAAATTTTTTCAGGATTGTTTCTTGTTCGAGAACAGGAATTGTGTGACTTATGCACCTCTCAATGCTAACACCGAGGGTGTGTGGGGGGGGGGGGGTCGGGCAAGGGGGGGGAATTTGACATTTTTACAGAAAAAATGTCAAATGCCACTCCCTCAAGACAAAATTCCTGGGCAAAATTCCCCAGCCCCGGGATGAAATTTTATTCCTGAAGTATTTGGTTTCTGGTGCACTCTATACGTCAGGTGATTGGGAAATGACACAAATACATTTCGGCGATATAATTTAAAACTATTACAAATATAATGAACTTTTCAAAATAACTTAAAATACTCATTAATAATTCATAAACCTTGTGGCAAATCATGTCAGCCATAATATGTCACATGGAGTAACATAATATCTGATAAAACACATATGTGGCATTATATAATTGTTCATCCTAATTAGTATTTTTATATAATATATTGTTTGTCCTTTGTAGTGAGTCATACATATTTTAAGCTATTTAAAACACAAGTAGGAGCAAGTGTAGGAGTTTTTTATCATACATAAAATGCTCAGCTGTGCCTTGGTTTTTATATCTGATAAAACACTCCTACTCATGTTTTAAATGGTACATAATGTAAACTTTTAACATACGAGTGTAAATTGATATCAATATAATTATAAAATGGCTTATAAGCTGCTTGTGATGTTACTCTGAGTGTGTATCCACACCGGGGGGGGGGGATGAAAATATGCCTGGCCACGGTGGGAATCGAACCTTCTTCTCCAGAAATCTCCATATTTCTTGTAAAAACAATGCGCAAGTCGGCAAGCGATGAACTAGTGCACAGTCTTCAGTTCAAAGTATTCAAAAATTGGCTCAGGTTTCTTCAGTATATCATCTGATACTCAGAAAAAAGTGTCAGTCCAAATCCCGACCCACGGGTCAAACTGATTAATCAAATCAGGCCCTTTGCCCCCCCCCCTTTGGGGTTAACATTGACAGGTGCATTATATAAAACGATATTTTTAGAGTTTGAAATGATTAATAAACTTGACGTTGTTGCTATGGCAGCAATGACATTTCAATATGGCCGACATTTTGGCATTAAACGTATTTTACTCAAAAAACGTCCGGTTACCTCCATTTTTTATTTCATGAAAAGCTTTCTACAAGTATAATATTTAAATTAGTTTAAAAAAATATGTAGAGCCATTTCTTTTTGTATCATGAATAATCATGTTGATTAAATTTTATAAAAAATGGCTCTACAGGATTTTTTAAACTCGTTTAAATATATTTCCATTATACTTAGAGAAAAACGTAAAATACGTTTATAGCCAAAATGTCGGCCATATTGAAACGTCATTGTTGCCATAGCAACGACAATGACGTCATGTTTATTAATCATTTGCAACTCTAAAAGTATTGTTTTATAAAAGTCACACGATTCCTGTTTCCTAACAAGCAACAATCCTGAAAACATTTTGATCCAAATCATAAATTTTTCAGATTTCAAAAAACTATAGGGAGCCACCTTAAGCAGAAATGTGGCCGAAACGTGCCCTACTTTATTCTTCTACTCTGTCTAACCCCAGGCGATTTTACTCGTCAAGGGGAGTCTCGTACTGTATTGGGTTAATGTGCCTTGTTAACATGATCTATGTAAATACAATGATTTATATATAAGCTCTACTAGTTGTTATGTTTGAAAATATTTATTTTCCACCATGTAAATTGCTGGCGACATGTCCTGATCGTTTTTGGCACAAATAAAATAATAACATTTATGTTAATTAATTCATTGTCACTGAATTTATATACATTATATACCAAAAATAATGAATATTTGAAAGTACCTTAGTTAGTCCAGTTATGTTGAGTTAAGCCCTCAACAGAAATGGATGAGGCATGGGCGTGGTCGAGACGTCGAAAGGGGCTTAACTCAACGATTTGCTAACCCCTATACAATCTACTCATGCCACATTTACCAACATCATTCCATTTCCATGCATAACAGTGTCTGTACAGTAACACAAGTCTAAAACTTGCAGGTACCAGAGCTCATGTATATGGTTCCTCACCATCAAACCAGCGAATAGAAGCATGGTGGCCCTATTTGAGAAAATCTTGGTCAAATTGGTGGATCAATTTTTTTAAAGATCTTATAGATCAAGGAGAGCTAAGTACATCAAACACGCTTCAAATAGAATGCTTGTGGTTTTCATTTTCACAACTGCTGCAGAAAGAGCTTGATGAGTTGCAACATCACTGGAATACACATTACATCAGGAGGTCCAGACATGATACTTTACCTGGAAGACCAGATGAACTTTATTTCTTGCCGGAGAATGAAAATGCTGTAAACCACGCACATACTATTGAAGAAGACAAGTATCATGATATGCTGAATTACTGCCATGAGTATCACAAGGAATCTCTTTACTATGAATACTTCACTCATGTATTTACCCTTGGTGGTTTTGAGTCACCAAACACCTGGAATGATGCATTAACTTTATACAGGGAGATATTAGGTGTAGCAGAATGAAAGAAACAAACATGTGTGGGAGAACTAAATTATTAAGGTTACAATTAAATTAAGGTTACGACTTACAATCTAAATGTCAAGTGCTTTTCAAACCACATGTGGTATAAAGAGTTCTCATTCGAGTACATACGATAATTGATTCTTAGAATTCAGCTCAGCAAAAAACTTTATAAACAAATAAACTTTAAGGTAAAAGTTCTTATTTTAAGAATGCAGAAAATGCTAACAATTTGTATACTCCACATCATTGTTTCCCCAAGGTGCATGCACAACATTTCCATAATATAAACACAACCAGATTACTTTCATTGATCATTGAGGACGGAGTACCAGAGTTTTAACTACAGTTCTGTAATACCTCAATCTTTCGCAGGCTAATCAGGGGCTTGGTGTGTATAAAGATAATACAGTAAATAATGGAACTACCAAAAATCTCTGTATGTCATAGTAATCTATTGTTCTTCCCTTAAAAGTGACATTATTGCACATTTTCAAACTTTTAATAAACACATCAGAGTATGGAATAACATGCGAATCAGGCCAAAAAAAATATGTGGGTTTCCTATTTGTTGTAAAAGCTTAGTGGCTGTTCATATGATCCCACTTACTGAGACGTCTTTAGGCCTTGGGCCGTTGGCCAAAATTATTTCGCTTCGTGGCAACCCCCTGGGGAACAAATTTTCTGTGGTTCAATGCATAGTAGTACCATAGATGCTCGATTACCACAAAAAGTTCCAAGCAAAAAACTTGCCAAACACCGAGAAAATGGGTGATCAGTGATTATCCTCTAATAAATTGTATTACAGCAAGAAAATGTGAAAATTTGTATTCAATTACAACAAAAATGACTTGCATCATCAGAAAGCTTACAAAAAACCGCATATAAGACTTTAAACAGTTCTTTATCCTTCAAATAGTCTTGAGTTATTGCTGTTTTAAATGTAAAAATTGGACAGTCAAGCAACACAAATATTTAGCAATTTTAGTGTTTTTCTCTGTTTATTTACAAGAAAAAGTACTGCTTTAGGTACTTGTTTACAAAACAAACTAAGTAAAAAGTGTTAAATTAAACGGCAAGACTTGACTTCATCCCGGTAAGCGGGCTGGCGTGTTCATATGGAAAATTTGTCATCCCACCTGGCGCCTACCTATGGCCACAAATGAGGTAAAGTATTTACCTCATCTGTGCTATGGCTATGATCTCGGCAAATTCAAACGAGATCTTGTTAAGCGGGCCAGCTCGCTTTCTCATATGAACACAATGCAAAACCTTGTATGAAAATAACTAGGCGGCGAGATGATCAGTAAGCAAGACGTCTCGATACGATATCGTATCTAATCTTTGCCGCAGGTTTTTTAAATTTTTTCTTTAATTTTCCTAACAACCGGACGCCATTTTGTTTAGTCAGTGCGTCTCAGTCCAAAGATAAATTTCCCTAATATTGCCTCAAATTTCCATTTTCCACAAGCGTTTTCTTCTAAGTGGAAACAATTACAAGCATGAACCAATAAAAAGTTTAGGGCCAGGATTTCGGAATCCAAAAGCTAGGTAGGGTCGGGAAACCCACATATTTTTTTGGCCTCAGATACGTATAACAACCCAAACGTGAATCTGACTCTTGAAGTTTATAGCTTACTGAAAACACCACCATTCATCATAGCTGTTAAAAGGTAATGGTGAAATGGCCCAGTAACAGTCTTCTCGTTAACATAGAGATATAACATATTGCCGCATGTGTGAGCACTTGGAATAAACTTTAATTCGTCGTCTACAAACTTTGTAGATGGTTTTGGATCATATCCAACAGCTGGTGGAGAAGGTGTTCCTGTTGCAAACATGAGGACATGGCCCGGGGTTAAAACATGAACACAATCTTCTTCTTCTTTTGTCAATTTAGTCTGATCTTCTAAAATCTCCCTAAGGGTGCCTCCTAAATGTATTTAGAAATGACATTTCCTCATCACTTTCTTGCGTGTCACTACTCTGGTTCCAGACGCTCTTTGCGAGGTGAAAGAAGAGAGGAAGAGCCTCTGGTTACATCGGTTTGGGAAATAAACATTACTGTAAGCTATACTTATAGCTATAAAAGCAATAATTAGCTTGTTTATTTCCCAAACCGGTTTGACATATTTTTATAAATAGCCAATCACATGCGAGATTCAAATTCTGAACCTAATCAAGTGTGGAAGTGGGTTTTGCAACCGATGTGACCAGAGGCTCTTCCTTCTCGCCTCTCGTTTCTTTCGCCTCGCAAAGAGCCCCTGGAACCAGGATAGCGTGTCACTTGGCATACACTATATTATTATTGTTTAGTATTGTGTTATTGCTTTCTTGCAATAAAACAAAAAAATATAGCCAAAACACACCAAAACCAAATATACCCCTCAAATATTTCCCTCCAATAACCTCCGTTTCCGCCGAAAAATATCATGGGCACCTACAGATACAACGAAGAACTATATATTATGTAGGCATATAAAAACAAAGGCTTTTAGCCAACGTTAAAACAGGAACTGAGCACAATGACTAAATATAATTGATAGCAAGATAACACATATACCTTCGAGGCACTGCATAAATTCAACGAATTTTGATAAAACAACCTCTTCATTTGCTCTTCTCTGGTTTCCTACAGGTGCCATGGATGGCTTCAAAAATGCAAGTACTTCCCGCGCACTAATTTTATTATCCACCCGATATTGTAGAAGATACTGCGCCAATCCATCACATTTTCTAATTAAATCCAACACCTTTGAAAGAATAACAATTGTTTCATGCAAATTTGAAATTGAATACTGTAAAATGCTGTCATGAAACAGCCAGCTGACCTAACATAATCACGGTCTGAAATTTGCAGTGTCCCGATATCCACAGGATACTAAAATTGTTTCGGATACCAAACTGTGAATGACTTTTGGATACCAACAAAATTTCAAACAATATGAGAATGCTAAGCATCTCTGACAGTCTCCTGATAGCTTTTGATTATACTATGAATTTGCCAGCAGCTTTTCCACATTACTGAAGACTAGCGTATATAGAAGTTTGTTGAAGGATTATACATAATGTCATGAATGAATTGTCTAGTTGTTGACTGTTGAGTATCCTGTTTTTAATGTAATTTGGACGGTGCACAGTATAATACTCACGCCTGTGGTTAGCAGTATCCAGAAGTGGGATACTGGATTCTCAGAGGGATATACTAAAACTTGAATCCTGGTATCCCAATTGGATACTAAGAAGAAAAAAATCACTTAATATGTATATTTAGATTTTCTAATCAAACTTTTCTTTTAATAATATTAACCCACTTTAGTTAAATAAGCTGCAATGGCAATAAAACTTATAAGTAATATTCTTTTAAATCATATGTGGTGGTTTCAAATGTTGAATTTTCCAAGTGTATAATTCAACAATTGAATTGGGCACTTGGAAATTCTACATTTGAAACAGGCATGAAGTGGAAAAAAGTGGATAACAATACCTCGTAATATTTGAGCCCCTCCAAAATACCATCCAGCATGCTTTTGCACTTTATGATTGTGAAGTACTTTGCAACTTCACTAATAAATACTTCTCGTTGCTGAAATGGGACGGTAGATGGCAGCCCATCAATCTCATATCTCCATTCACATCGATTAAGACATTCTGTAAAAGATTTTACATCAGCAGCATTTGCTAACTGAAATGAGCGATAGGGACAAGAGTTTATTAACAACGAAGCAAGGACAGTATGATGTTTGTGCTGTTACTCTGAGTGTATATCCACACCGGGCGAGCTTGAAAAATATGCCCGGCCATGGTGGGAATCGAACCCACAACTTTTGGAATACAAGCCCAATGCTCTGCAAACTGAGATGCGCGGTCGGCTGGGCATATTTTTCAAGCTCGCCCGGTGTGGATATACACCCAGAGTAACAGCACAAACAAAAAACAGTAATCTTCCAGTCGCATATTTTTCCTTTCGTCCTCCTTGTGAGCCTCTACGTGCCCACTCATGGTCTCAGCCGACTGATAATTGCTTGAATATTGTTGAATACAAAAAAAGAAATACTATAATATTATAAGATCTACAAGTATTTATAATTTTATATTTAAAAGCGACTGGGGACGAGTCTGGGGTAGAGGGGCAGTCTATACATACCCGAAGATAAGAGTTCAAATCTCGCTCAAGCCAACGAATTTTTCGTTGGTCTATTGCTGTGTCAGAATAATATGATAATAATACGTATCTCTGAGGATACGTCAGAATAATACGTATATCTGAAGATAAAGTTCAATTGTCTTGCATTTTAGAACAAATGAAAAAAAACCACACAAAAAACAGTCTACAAACCGTAAAGAATGGGGGCATGGTCAAACCAGAATTTACATCAAGGGAGCGTTTGTTTTGTAAATCTAGATTTCGATTTTTAGGATTTGGATTTTTTGTATTCGTTAAACAAATGGAACGAATTGTGAGAATCAGAATTCGCCTGCCGTTTTCCCGCCATTTTACAATAAGTTTTCTGTCCCACTATATCTTTCGGTCGGGTCAAGGTACATGCTAGAAGGCCAGAAGCTCAAAAGGAACGTTGAATCCTAATCAAGTTTCAAATTGAATCCGCAAAATCCATATGTTGAGGTGGATTCATCAGATTCCAATCTATTTTAAGATTCTGTTAAATGAAACTGAAAATCAATAATCGGATTTGAAGATCCAAATCCGGATTGCACTAAAGGAATGCACCCCAAAACACAAAACTTTGTAATACCTGTTTTAATGAATTCCTAACCACTGGATTGGGAATTTCATCTATGTCAGGTTTACAAGCCTCAGATCCTTTTGATATATAACTGCATACAGATGGGCTAAATATTCTTGGGGCCTCACCACCTTGCACAATGATAACTGCCAGCATTTGACCAACAGTTCGAAAATCATCATTTTCCAAAGCACGAAGATTGCATCTTGTTACACAGCCAAGTGAAGTGCCTGTAAATCGGTACAATAAAAACATGCTTTGTATTTTGTATAGTAATGCTAATTTCCATTCCTTCTTTTTTATTATTTCAAGAATAGTTCATGAATGTCCCAGCGATGAGCACCCATATGCCAAGGACGACATGCCAAGGACCACAGCAGTGCATGAAAGGGCTAATTGACCTTAAAACGTCTTACATCACGTCGCTGTCAAAAATGAATACTAGTATATTTGACCCACACGAGTCCTACATTGCATGGCATGTACCTAACATTTTGATGGATTGAAAATTGTGTGACATACGCACTTCTACGTGCTATTAGCCTAGCTAGCAACAATTAATTTAACATCCCTAATGGCCAGGCCCTGCATTTAGAACACACACAGAGTTAAATTCCACGTTCTTATTTGCCCAGGGTCAAAACTGTTCCTGCGTTTTGCACTGTATAATAATAGCTTTGACAAATATCTTGGGCTGGTTGTATAAAACTCTTAGTCACTTTCTTAATCACTATTTTGTAGTTAAATAGTGATGAACTCTCAAATTCGCGCTCCTTATTGGATGACGTTTCCACTAACTATAGTTAACTTTAATCACTTTTTATACAACCGGCCCCAGATAATCAAGTATGCAAAAATAATATACCAAAACTAAAATACATCAACACTTAGCACATGCTTGTTAGTGTACAGCTATCCTGACATATAGCTCCCAATAGTAGGTGGAGAAATTCTAGTCTCGGTCCACCTTGATCAATAGCATCTTCTTCTTCCAATAAATTGGCAAATGTTACCTTCAGAATGCCTGTTTTGGCCATGAATGACCGTTGCTTAAAAAAGGCCCGAGCTGTGTCCCAAATTTTTAACCGACTAACGACTATACGTCTTGATTCACCGGTCAAAACTTTTGCAACATGATCTTTGAGAAAATCCACCATTGCTGTTTCAGTTGTGTCTTGTGATGTGGTGTCATTCACTTCATTTTCCACATCTTGGAATTCTCTCAAGCTAACTTGAATGGCTTCATCAACTGCTTCAGTTTCAGTTAAGCCAACAGGTCTGTAAAATATTAATTAACCATTAAGCACCAACAGTCTCTCTTGACAAGCAAAATTGTTATCCTAACTAATTTTAACTAGTTTATGGAATGATGCAACCTTTATAATCTAAAGGGCTGGAGACTCCATATTGGAAATGTGTGCTTTGTAATTAAAACCTAGTTGCTTAGTAAAACGAGTAGTAAATTCTTGAAAAACAAGTTAATTCTTAAAATTATGTGAAGTCCAAGGAGTGGAGCCCGACATATGTAATTGGTGACTTAAACAACAAGAATTTGTGTCATATTTAAAAAAAATATTAGAGAGGGGTCTGCCTCTTAGCTGCACACTACATTTTATTTCTAGACTTGTTCCTAGTCCCTATAAGACTTACAGTAGGTTTGATCACTACGGTTAATTAACCCCAGTCCCCATTATCTTAGGGGATTGCCCTTACAAAATCTTAATATTAAATACAGTAAATCTTTATTTAAGCAATTGCAGCACAGTATTATGTGAAAAAACTTTTCCATTAGTTCAAATACAATATGGCATTTTGTGTTAACATGCTGAATAATGGAAGGTAAGGGTCAGTGGAAACAATTTATGAGCATGCAAGTGCTTTTATCTGGAAATTTTAAACAGCTGCAAGAAATATTAATATTTCAGGTTGAAAATATAAAGAATGACTCAAAACAAGTGTCTTGCTAATGTTCCAACTTGACAGAAAATTATTTATCTTGTGGCTGTGTTTGCACAAAGAAAATTGTTTTTTTTATTTTTTCCACCCTTGATGAAAGAAAACAACAACTTTCCCTTGTCAAATAAATGGGGGTGTTGGGTTGGGGGGGTGTTGGATGGGCACCCTTGTATTTGACTGATACATTATGTATGGTGGAGGGGGAATTTCAGGGTGAATCACTGATCACATACACTTTCAGAAAAATCTAAAAAAATCAGATAAAAAACAAAATCACTGAAAAATAAAGAATCACTGAAAAAATCTGATCTCCTACACTTTTCTGGAGTGATTTGCCCCTCGGTAGTAAGGCAGGGGCTTATATTGGTCTGAGTATTAATATGGTAGACTTATGCTAATCTGCAAGGGTATTTCTAGGTTTCCACTTACATAAAATCAGTTGCAATAAAAAAGCTAATATCTTCAAAAGGACTCTCATCTGCAGAATCGCATTCTTTTTCCCCACATGTATTGACAGCATCAGTTTCCGGAAAATTATTTTCATCCATGGTCATTAAAATGTCACTTTCTTCATCCTCATCTTCGTTGTATCTTTCTCTGATAGTGGGGCAACTGGGCTTAAGTAGAGAGTTAGCCTAGAATATGACTTTCCAAGCCATTCCTTATAGCTTTTTAAAACGAATTCATCTTCGGTACCCGGAATTTTCTTGGCAATACTTGTATCAGGGTATGCGAGTACATAACCCCTCTCCACAAGAAATCGTCGGTCGAACGCTTCACTTTTTTTTTTTCGCCGCAGAGAGAACTTCCTCATAAGTTGCATTATCAGATGTTTTCAAAGGCAAAGATCCCCCTCTGACTGGTTTTAATTCAGTTCCTACGTACTCCATCATACCAATGTTTATTGTTACCTCACATGCTTTTGGTTTTGCCCCCTTTTTTGCTTTAAAATGCGACTGTCTTTTTTCCGACTTACGTTTCGCAAACTGTTCGTAAGTTGGTAACAAACTTTGTCTTTTTCCCTTTATATTCGATTTTATATCTCTTGATTGACTTGACAGTCTTGGCTGACTTGCACTCGGCTCACTCTTTTGTCCTTCTTCGCTTTTGTTTTGTAATCGCTCACCACAAGCGGAACAGTAATTAAAAGATTCTTGAACAGGACAGCCACAAAAAGAACAATACATCTTTGAATAATTCAGTTTTTACATCGCTTTCGCCTTTCGCCCACTTTTCTATCGCATTGTTTTCTACTTTTCTCGAAGTAGAGCGCGGGAAAATGTCGACAAATATATCCGCACTTCGGAAATAATATTGGTGCACCGAAAAAAATATCGGTGCATCGAAAAAAATATCGGTGCACTGAGAAAATATTGTTGTGCACTGAGAAAATATTGTTGTGCACTGAGAAAATATTGTTGTGCATTGAGAAAATATTGTTGTGTGCTGAGAAAATATTGTTGTGCACTGAGAAAATATTGTTGTGCACTGAGAAATGTTTTTGTGCACTGAGAAAATATTGTAGTGTACGTATTGCAATATATTTACGTGCATGCACAAATATTGTTGTGTATTGCATATATGGGCCACCATACAAACCCAATGTCACTCTAAGCATTCATTTTCATGAATTTCATCCATCGTATTTTGTATACTAGAATCCTAAAAGGAACTTAATATACAGTTCAATTTCTTAACAGTTAACAGGGTTATTTAATTATTACAGTCTAAATGTCAACTTCGCTAATATTGTTTAATGCTATCAGCATGCACTTTCATAACATATATTTTGCAGACATTTTACAGAACTATGACATATATCTGCCACATAAGCAAAAAATAAATAATATTATACAACAGTTTGAGGCATATGCATTTATAGGCGAACAAAAAATCGTAAATATATGACTATTTTATACCAAGATGGCGGCATGAAACTTTATACCTGTCACTATTTAGGAACAGTGATATTAAGATATTTATATATGTAAATATTCATAAAAGAACACAGGAAAACCTTAAGGGAGATAGTCACTATTAATAAATTAAACACATGTTTTCTACCATGTTTTTATACCAGGGGCCCCTATCCAAATTAAAGCTATACCCAGCGAGCAAAATTACATCGATTCAACACTGAATCGACGTCGAACTTCGACGTTGATCTGACGTCGAAATAAGGTTGAAAATGCAAATTGGATCAACGTCGTTTTACGACGTCGAAGTCGAAACGATGTCGCAAAATGACGTCGGAAAAAAACGTTGTTTCGACGTACAAACAATCACAATCATCAACGTTGAAATGATCTTGTGTCAAAAGAGTCAGTTCAAAAAGCATCATATTTTGACTATAAAATACTTTATTTCATTATGAAATACCATTAATATTAATACTAATATAGCCTATATAATTACAGAATATATAAACGGTATATCCTTTGACCATACTACATATAATACCATAAAAATTGACATATATAAACATTTCACGACCTATCTACTAAAAGTCAATAATTTAAACAGTTTCTTTTCGTCCTCCTCCTCCTTGCCGATCTGGCGCATACTTGAGCAGTTGCTGTACAGCTCGCTCCACCTCCACTTCCGTCGTCTTTTGATTTTTAACCACACATTCTAGGAACAATACAGAGCACAATATTAACAATGGGTTTTCATTATATGACTACCATTGGCAAGCATCAGCTACACAATATGATTATAGTTGCGATTATATTTATAATTACGCGATATGATAACGATCCGGAAAATCCCCATAATATCGCTTAGGGACATTAATGCCCTACGACAAAAAACCAAGTCAAAACCGGAAAAATCAAAAACTATTCTTTAAATGGGAAGAAACAAAATTTTCGCCAAAAATTTAAATGGGGAAATTAACCATGACTTTTCTGATCAAGTAATTAAATTTAAGCTGGACTTTCTCAAAGAAAAGTTGATGTTGTAAATTAGCCTTTCTCACGATGACGAAATCCGCCATTTTTGGGTGACATCTTATTCTTGTTAACCAATTAAAACAATGTGAAAAGCAATTTTCAAGTAAACTAACCATTTACAAAGCAAATTTACCATCATTCGTCCAAAAAATTATAAAAAGTTGCTGTTATGTGAACTTATCTCGCAGACTTCGGCTGAAATGTCACCCAAAAATGGCGGCGTGAGAAAGGCTAATTGACTATGGATTCTTTCAAACTTAATTTGTTCTTTCTTCTTTCCAACAAGGGGCATTTCTGTGTTTAGAACAGCTATACACAGCACAACACAAACATGTTTGCCATGTAGTAACACCCTTGTTTAAAAAACATTTAACACTTTTTGAAGTAAGGCAGGTTTGTTTGCAATGGCATTCGCTCGAACCGTCGAGGCTTAGTTCAAGGCACATGAGTTAATGTAACTTTTACGAATGCGGTGCTGCAGGAAAATACACCACAAAGAGTACACTGTCACATACCTACAACAACTTGAAATACTTTAGTGGACCCAAAAGCATATTTTGAGCCTTTTCCTTTCATGTTCATTGAAGCCATAACTTCATTATTCATCAATCTAAAAATGAATTGGAAATATTGATAATAGTTCCCAATAGCATGAAAGGTGACTTTCAATCTACAATATATAAGAACACCAGCACACTTTAATTGTGTTGTCGTACTTTCATGGCTATTTACCTGTGCATCACATTGCAGACATTCTCTCTGATGTTCAGTCCTCCAACATCAACAATTCTTGATAACTGCAAAACAATTGTCATCCATATCACGACTAAAGCAGGTTATGTGAGGATTGGGCATACATGCTAATTGAGTCAGACGTCGAGTAATAGAGCATGCACATATATTTACAGCTGAGTTACGATATAAGTTTAAAAAATAATTGGTTAATAAACTTTCTCGGTTCACGAACAACTGAAATCCTCTACAGCACGCTCATACTTCTGTTCTTCATACATCAAAAAATTGCTTGAATTAATTTGAATGCTTTGGTCAATTCAAGAATTCGTAGGCAGGTTCAAAATTATGCTTACCAAGTCATCTCTAGTGTCTTTATCAGCAAGACTGGCGTCTAATCGTTTCAGTTCCTCCAAGCTCATTGCCTGATCAATCTGCATTTCAGAATTGGCAGGAGAACATCTTTTTCCCACCTGGGCTACCGTGTTACGGATTTCAGTTAATAGCTGCAAAACCCGTCTTTGAAATCCTATAAGTTAGAATAATTGAAAGTTAAAGCAAAGACAATGATGATCACATCTAAGGGTCTGAATATTCACTATGCAGTGGCAGGGTCTTAGCTAGAGGGCCGTGTTGGCCGTGTTATCGCGGCCAAAAAGGGAAAAACATGGCTACATAAAATGAACGCGGTTTCATTATTTATATAAGGCCGTGTAGGTTCATAAAATAACAGACAGAATTTCTTCCTATTCACTGTACGTTGTAAGAAAGTTTGTAAAATCTACGGTTATTTTTGAAATTGGCGAAAGTGATCTGCATGTGATGTTTTAATGTTTTGGTGGATAATGGGAACTGTATGGTGTTAAAATGGTTTTAAATACCCCCAAGAGTTGCTGAAAAAATTTAATATTTTAATGTCAGTGCGTAATATGAGCGTATGCTCGTGTTGTATTTGGTTGCAAAGCATAGAACAACCACACAGGTATTGTCTGTTGTTGGCGAGCATAACTAGAACCGTGAATTTGGCTATTTGAGGTAATTGACATGTGCACACCCTGGTCATTTAGAAACACGCCCAAGATCTAAAATCCTAGCTAAGACCCTGTGCAGTGGTGACTAAATTTCCTGTATTTACTCGAGTAAAAGTTGAAGTAATCACCTTTAAAATGACTTGAAGTGAAAGTAAAAGTATCGCAGATAAAAACGTACTTGAGTTATTAAAAGTATAATTAGTTTAAAAAAATACTCGAAGTACAAGTAAAAAGTAAAAGTACACTCGATTGCAGCCTCTGCATATACGTCATATTTTTAACAGTACTTTTTCACGAAAGGCTCATTGACGTAGCTCTATACAGGACACCAGCAGGCTACGCGTACCGAAGTACCAATTGTCACTTATGTTTCCTCTTGATTTTTGCTAAAAATCAAGTTAAAAGTAATGAAAGTAACGAAATACTTCAACACAAAATGAAAATAACAAAGCAAAACGTTACATCATAAACAGACTTTCATTTCAAGTTAAAGTACTCGGGCAAAAATGTACTAGGTTACATGCTTTTTTTTACTACTCAGAACTTATTCTTTGCCAATTCACATTAGAAACTGCAAGGATTTTAACATTTTTACTAAATTAACCAAAAAATTTTTAATCGAACAGAAGAAGTAATTAATCTCATAAATTTTATATATTGTTAGTGTACATAAGTACAGTAACGAAGTACATTTACTTTGTTACCTGCCACCACTGGCATTATGTGTACTTACTTGCTTCTGATATGGGAAATCCACTGTTACTCCTAGCAACGGTGTTCTCAGTACCAAATGTATGTTCATGCTGTCTTTCTGGTGTCCTCTTTTCTGCCAAACTTTGTCTCTTGGGTTGTGGAGCTGAAGGCCTGGATGTAGTTCTTGATCTGGACCTCGTGTTTGATCGCGATTTCGTTCTATAACTTCTTGTTGATCGTGAACTCGTTCTAGACCTTGTTTTCGATCGTGATTTAGACTGCGTTTTTGATCGCGATCTCGTTCTGTGACTTGTTTTTGATAGTGAACTTGATGTAGACCTTGTTTTTGATCGTGATCTAGACTTCGTTTCTGAGCGTGATCTTCTTCTTACATTTGGAAATACTGTTGCTAAAATATCTGAAACGCACAACAAAAAACTTCAGAGATACTATTTATGTTCTTGGGAGATGCAACGATAACAATGTTACATAAGTAAATACCGAAAGCACATAAAACACAGTTCGTTGAAATAAAAAGACACATTTCCTCCATTCCTCAGATGTGATACTTAGTCCTTGATAGGCTGAATCGAGCGAATCAAGGTATGTATTAAATTAATCGACTTAATAGCCAAATGCTCTAGTATGCAATATTTAACAATTACTGAATGAGGTTGAGCACGATATGAAAAAATTATCAAGCCCGAACTGAGGGCTTGATAATTTTTCATATTGTGCGAAAATTCAAAACAAACACATTTGTATTTTATTTGTATTAAGAAAAAAACAATTCCTTAGTCCTTCGGCAGCCGTCACCGCGTCATATCAATGGCGTCAGCGAGTCAATATGATTATCATTGTCACAGTAATATGGCGCAAACGCATCCAAATTTTTTTCATATTAACTCTTCGACGTCATTTTGCTAATATGAATGTGAAAAATCTGTATTGAGTTGATATGACAATTTCACAGTCGGCTGTTAGCCAATCAGAAACCAGGATTTTTTAAAATAAATAAATAATACATATTGTTGTTGCTTTACCTGTGGCTTGTAAAGGTCCACCGTTGGATCTGCAGTTTTCTATTAAAGGGGTCTTTTCAGAGAAAGTTTGCTTCCCTGATCCAGAAGGTTTGGACCTCATTCTGGATCTTGATCTCGTTTTTGATCTCGAACGCACAGAGGATCTTGATTTTGTTTTCGAGTTCGACCGTAACTTCGATCCGGAAGGTGTCTTGGAAGTTGAGGAAGGGCAGTCTAAAATTAGTAAAATCGAAAGATACAAAACTTTAAAAGACTTCAACAGTCGCGTCATATCAATGGCGTCAGCGAGTCAATATGATTATCATTGTCACAGTAATATGGCGCAAACTTCGATCCGGAAGGTGTCTTGGAAGTTGAGGAAGGGCAGTCTAAAATTAGTAAAATCGAGATGCAAAACTTCAAAAGACTTCAACAGAGAATCAGGTTTCTAGAATCTATACTTTTTCAACTGAACATCTAAATAGTATCTAATTTTTCTTAAATTCGAAAAGCTTACATTCATTTGGTCGTTTGCTACGTGGTTTGTTATTCTCTTTTTCTCGAAGAGAACTTCTTGATCTTGACCGTGATCTTTTTCGATTCTTTGACGTTTGAAATTTCATTGGTGGAGGTGGAAATTCTGATATCGCTAAAAAATAAACAAGCGTCACTAGAATAAAGTTCACGAATGGCTTTTGAGTAGATGCAGTATCACACACATATGTGTTGTATTGTGCTGAACTAGCAGAGCAAAAGCATAAAGCACAAAGCATACTAAATGGACGAGGTTTTAAAAGTTGATTCTGACACATACAGTTGGCATCTTCACCGTCATAATCTGAATTATTGTCTGACGAGTCGAAAATTTGTTTCGCTGCAAAAGACAAAAAATTATAAGCACGCAAAGTACAAAAATAACCTATAAGATAATAAGATGGCAAGTTCCCAAAGATTTCTCTTCATGGGAAGGATAAATACTTGATCCGTGCATTAAAGTCTTCGTAATACTTAAAGCCGGTTTTTCACTTCGCCCATATCGTAGCGAAATGTACTGGTGAGCATGCGCAGATTGAAAAGAGGTTAATAAGTCCACGTACTTCCAGGTGTATTCGCGTATCAAAATGAAAAGTTTGTCGCAAGTCAACTTTTTGGCATCCTACGGAAGTACTAACCAATCAACATTCACGAAATTTTGAAATTTAAAAACATTTTGATACGATACAGAACGGGCGAAGTGGAAAACAAGCTTAATGATAGGTAAAGTCTGTTCTGCATGTATGTTCTGTTCATAACACTGTCATTGCTTACATTATGTTATTTGGCATGATTTGTATATTTTGTAATACAATATAGTCAAATAATCAAATTAAAATTCCAATGGTCGGGGACCTCTGCAATCTCTGGAATTTTGATATGCACAAAAAATATGCACAGACAGGACTGTAGCTCATCTTTATGAAAACACATATATTCTAACAGCTAACCTTTGGCACCCTTTTTTCCCAGACTTTCCTTCTGTTTCTTATATTCGTCTTCATCATCATCACTTACTTCAGCAGTGGTGGTAAATTCATAATTGTCACAAACTTGTTTGTAATCTGGTTTAAAGAACAAAGTACTTGTACGTAAAAATTTCATAGTAAAAAACAGAAAAATGTAGAACTGTGTCGCTGCAACAGTATTTTGTTAGATTATTAATACGTCCCACATATTTGTTTTTTCATGCAGTAATACATATTTTATCTTCAATAAAATGACTGACCTGCAGAACATTTGATTTTAATAAGCGGATATGAGCTTCGCTTCGCAGTATTCATGTCTAGCATTATAGAAATTGCAATAGACAGAGAAAGGAAGTGCTGGTATAGATTATCTGGTAAAATGCCTCTCAACACAACAGGCCCAGTATATAGCAGAAATTGACGAAACTCAGTTGCTTTCCAGCGATCAAGCTCAACCAGTGACCTTAGTTGTCTAGCAAATTCACTTGGCATGTTTCCATGTAACAATATCAACTTTTCGGATATTTGCAGTATATGTCTGGAAGACAGCTTGCAAATTTTCAATTTTCGGCCCTCTTTTAAGAAAAGTAAGCAAATGCCGAGTGACACCTAAACATACAAGGTGCATGTAGTCAAGTGGAAACTGCTTAATGCATGAAACACCATGTGAAGCTAGAAGGGAAGCACATTTTTGGGGGTGATCATAAGTGAAGTTGGAGAATTTGTCATCCGTCCTTGGTGCAAACACCTTATCATTGTAAAAAACAACTCTGCCATTCCATGACCCCTTAGCTCTACACCGCTCACAGGAAAAATAGCCTGTATGACCAACTATCCCTTTTATGAAACATCTTGCAGGAGCATCACAACAGAAACACTTCAGATTAAAGGGAAAATGCCTTCCTTCAAAGTGTATACCATGAATCTTCAGTTTATCAAGTTCTTTCACTAAATCATCAAGATAATCATCCACAGAACTTGCTTTAGAATTACCATAAAAAAGTGCAACAACAAAGACTTCGACCTTATTAAAATAACCTAAAATAGGCCGGAAGTGGAAGATTTAAACAGGAAGATTTTAAGGCAGGCCATCAACGTTAATCATCAGATCAACTTTAGTGTGCGTTATACCAGCTTCGATACCCAGGTATATATACTGCCCACCACACTTAGAAGAAGTCACTACTTCTCGAGGGGTTTGCAAAAGGGTGCGACTGCACGGTGGTCGGTTGCTATGCATTTTGCTCCTGGAAGTGTGGGCTTCGTTTTTCCAGCGGTGTTAGTGTGAATGGGAAATAGTCAGGGAGGCAGAGGGAATTTTACTTACCTTCTCGAGGGACAAATTCTTTTGTTGATAATATTGTACTTCAAATGTTCCTTAATACGAATTCAAATGTTGTTTTGGCAGATTTTCCTTGCGTGACTGAGTAAACATGCATTTTATTTCTCGCTCGACTAAGGTTGAAATTTAATGAAAATGGCGGCGAAAGTGAAATGAGCCCGCGAATATTTGACCATCGTGGCATAAATTTCCCGAATACTTTATGTAATTTATAGTTACTTTGATTTGTGTAACACTTACAAAACGTTCCAAAACACGGACAAATTTGAAGCGTACTAGGAAATATTTGCAATTATATAGCCTTTCTACCACCGTTTATAATTTATTGAATTCAACGACTCAACCAACTAAGAGGCGCAAATATCCAGACAGATCATTGTTGTACAGCCATTGCTTATTATGAGAGGGTCCTGAAGGGGGGGGGGTCCCAATCCCATTTACCACCTGAAATTTTGGCAAAATCCCAGTCCCAGTTGGATTTTTATTAGAAATCCCAGTCCGAGTTATTGAAATCCCAGTCAATAAAAAACCCTTTATTTATCGGTACAATAAACAGTTTTAAGACTTTTAAGCCACTGTGTGTGCAAGTGGCGCACACTTTATGAAATTTGGGTGGGGGCTTGTGCCAAAGGCACGGAAAATTTTTTAATTTGAAGCCCGGAAATGGCATTTACAGCATTCTGAGACATGCATAATCAGAAAACCCAGAATTCCGGGCGTCAGAGTATGTCTGTTCGCAGGTAGTGCTGTGAATAATATAGTTAACAACAAAAATCATGACCAAAGACACCAAAATCGGATCAAAATTGTATTTTAAAATGCTTAAAGCGTGGAAAAATTGGGAATCGACTCGCATTACCTCAATCCCATTCCCATTTTTGAGGACTTCATTTCCCATTCCCAGTGGCCAAATCCCAGTCCCAGCAACCCAAATCCCATTTTCCCAGTCTAAAAATAGATCAATCCCAGTTCCCATTTTACCCCTTCAGGGCCCTCTTATGACTTACCTTCGTATACTTGAGTCTAGTTTCCATATGTGACCGTGTCGTAATTCTGAACATTGCGCTTTGCGAGGAAAATACACAGTAAAGTGATACGACTGCAAAAGTAGACGGTATCAAATTACTATGGGCCTCCCTTGCAGATGCTCAACACACGTATAATAGCCCACAAAGACCAATCGGAAAGAACTGTCCGTTTAGTAACACTATTCAGACAACACCACGTCAGAAAAGGAAGGAACTGTTTATGCAATTATCTTCTTTAGACATCCCCAAGGTAGAAATGGAAGGAACTATTGATGTAAATATCTTCTTTAGACATCCCTAAGATAGAAACGGAAGGAACTGTTCATGTAATTATCTTCTTTAGATATCCCTAAGATAGAAACGAAAGGAACTGTTCATGTAATTATCTTCTTTAGACATCCCTAAGATAGAAACGGAAAGAACTGTTCATGTAATTATCTTCTTTAGACATTCCTAAGATAGAAACGGAAGGAACTGTTCATGTAATTATCTTCTTTAGACATCCCTAAGATAGAAACGGAAAGAACTGTTCATGTAATTATCTTCTTTAGACATCCCTAAGATAGAAACGGAAGGAACTGTTCGTGTAATTATCTTCTTTAGACATCCCTAAGATAGAAACGGAAGGAACTGTTCATGTAATTATCTTCTGTAGACATCACCAAGGCAAAAACGGAAGGAACTGTTCATGTAATTATCTTTTTTAGACATCCCTAAGATAGGAACGGAAGGAACTGTTCATGTAATTATCTTCTTTAGACATCACAACGGTAGAAACGGAAGGAACTGTTCATGTAATTATCTTCTTTAGACATCCCCAAGGTATAAAAGAAAGGAACTGTTCATGTAATTATCTTCTTTAGACATCACCACGGTAGAAACGGAAGGAACTGTTCATGTATTTATCTTCTTTAGACATCACCATGGTAGAAAAGAAAGAAACTGTTCATGTAATTATCTTCTTTAGATATCTCCACGGTAGAAATGGAAGGAACTGTTCATGTAATGTTAACTACAAAATTTTATTTCTACATCAGCACTCCAGGACAAATATATTTTCAGAAAACATCTAGATCTAGTCATCTATTTCCTCATCTAGTTCAAAACGAGTATTGACATCATCCTCATCTGGTGTAGTATTTGTGCATGTAGAACAATCACACAAGTCTGTGCAGCTTAGTCCATTCCTAGCGCAAAGGCACCTGTTGTTTTGACATCCTGACTTTTTGCAACCACAGGCTAGAAACTCTAGTAAAGAATCTGGTGCTGGTTTTTGGCTCATCCACTTTATTTCTAATAAGCCATTAACTTCACGCCATCCATATCCTGCTGGGTGTGGAAGATCAATATCAGCTATTAACGCAGACTTCCAAATTTTGGCAACGTAATTGGCCCGCTGGCAGTGAAGAAGTAATTCGTCTTGAGTTGGTGGCAGTTGTTGTGGGTCAGGTACTTTAGCTTTCGAACAAAATTTTCTGTAACGTGCATCATTTATACTATCACAACCTTTAATACCATAACATTCTGCAATCATTTTTTGAACAGCAGGAAATAGATCTAAATCGAAATCAGCACTGTCTCCCATCTTCGACAGGACATCCTTGAAACTATCAGAGCTCTTTGCGATCTTGTACATCTTTTGCTTTCCAATTCCATAAAATGCACTTGTGAAATCGCAGCCACTTATTGCATGCAATGCAGGAAGAGCATCGGACATCTCTTTTCCAATGTTGTCGAAAATCTTGGAAACCGATAGAATTCGTTTCTTGCTTTTTGAACCAATTTCTACAAATAGGTCACAATGGAGTCGATCTTTATAATAAATAGCAAGAACACCAACATCGCTGTCGACCGTGGAAATGCAGATATTTTCGCACGAGAATTGTTGAACGGCATGTTGGCAACTAAGAAACATCTTTGTATCTGCTTCTTCTTGTTTGGAGTGTAAAGCTTCTTCTGGTGTTGATGTAACTTTATCGGACGTTACTTGCAGCCGATATGCTACGCTTGCCACTGTCACCAATATAATTCGATTTGCTATCATGGTTTTGAAACGATCAGGATCCGACCAGTCTGCAAGGAAAAACTTGACAAGATCCACTTTATTGCAACCATCACTTAGATACTTTTTAAATTGTTTCGGCGGCTTCTGATCTCGCCTGGTTAACTGTATGCGAATACTTCCAGCAGATGCTCGTCGTTTTCGCTCGCAGCCTTTCAAAGAATCATCATAATATTGGTCGGTGACAAAATAAATCACTTTCGACGAATGCGACGTAATTCTTTTTAGCACGTACTCAGAAATTTCACCAAATGTCGCCAAACATAACGAGCCCAATTGTTGGATGATGACCATACCATCAAACACTCGTACACAATTATTTGGAAGCGCATCTACGGTTGGATCATCAACTGTGTTTTCAATGGCGTCCAACAACTTTGATTTGACTGTCTTCGACACATTCCCATCCAATGTGGCTAACGACCAAGGAATAGGGCCTAACGAATATGCAAGTACCTCCTTTAACGTAATTTCTCGCTTTCCGCATATTACCAACAATCGTGCAAAGATATCTCTATCAGCTTTCAGCGTTACACTTCGTTCTTTTACGGAGCATGACTTCTTCGCCTTCATTGATGCAAAGGTATTTAACTTCATTTTGGGGATTGCGATGTACAAATCTTCGTCGTTGGACTCTATGCGCTTCTCAATAAAATTTACAAATGCCTCCTTTCCTCTCGCTTCTGCATTTACCATGTCGTTTTCTACCTGCGCGCTGCACTCCAAACCAGAACTAAGGTGTATCAATCGGTTGTTTTCTTTAAATGGTGTTCCCCACTCTTTGACGAGGTCATAGCTTCGAATAACACATTCTTCGTCGTATAAGATCCTTTTCGTAGCTAAATCTTTCGTCACGCATCTATCATCAGACATCCCAAAAAATTCTTCCACATGAGACTGGCATTTAGCAGCAACATGGCTTGTCAGAGCCCATCTTTGCACGGTACCTTCCGACGTGCTAAAACCAATAATACCACCAGCACACTTCTGCTGCCTGTTGATAGTCTGCTCAATTGCTTGATCCGATGGTATTTTGTTGAATTTACCTTGTTGTCTTCGAACAGAGAAATGCCCTGCTTCAAACTGTTGGTGGATGTGCAGATGCGTTTCTGGCAATTTCTTCATAGAAACTAGATAGTAGGTCAGAAAGCGAGCGTAGTTAGGTCGATCGTAGGCAAACATCCACGGCAACATGTTCTCAGTTGATTGAAGATGCAGTTTCCAGTCACCGAGTTTTATCGATTTGGCAAAATCAAGCAGAATTTGTACCATTTGCAAAAATGATGACCAAACACTTGCAGTTGGACCTAGGGAACCAGCCAAAAGAGAATTTTCATATGCGTGGATATGGCTAATCACATCCTGGTGATCATCACGAAAGGTTTCCAGCGATTCTTTAGATGGCGAGGAAATAAGCTTTTGAAGCCCTGCTGACTCGATAAAATCTTTATAACTTCTCTCTAAATGGCCATTGTGAACAGACTGCTCAAAGCTTTCAATCATATGCCTCTTCATTGCATCATACAAATACTTCAGAACTCTCATGGCGTTATTGTAGTGTTTCCCTCTGAACATTTGATCAACAGAGCTTTCTCCAAGAAGAGTTGATTCCACAATTATATCACGAAGGCCAGCATCACCAAATCGTTTTCCAATAACAGCGATAAAAATGCACATGGTGTGGAAAGCTCCAAGACGCAAGACTATGAACTTCTTCAGATCTACATACCGTGGATTCATGATAATTTCAACAGCTGGCGTAGATGGCCAGCCATGTCCAGAACAACGTCAGTTTCCGTCAACCGAAGCTTCTCTGCTTTTAGTTTAGATTGCGAGAGGAGTTCTAGAACAGTGTCGTGCGATGTTGGAGATTGGTTAATAGCCGGCAAATATCCAATATTGTGGAAATTGTCGCAGTCATCGCCACATACCAAATAATTAAATCCAGTCCAATTGGGAATTTGCTGTTGGATGCCGAGTTTGCTCGACTGACTTTTTGCAACAATCCAAAGAGTGTCAATCTGGCTGGAGTACTGAACTTCTTCTTCATATAAATTTAAATCAACATCCGTTGGGGCTTCCGTACACTTTCGTTTAACTTGAATGTAGGGGGCGATATCATTATGTATGGGCTGGAAGGACCTTGGTTTCCTCTTCGCAGTAGTTGCTATACGTGTATTGGAAGATGGCTGCTCGGTCGAATTCAAATGAGCTGTTGATGATTGTATGATAATCCCGTTGGTGCAATGCAGTGTAAAACCTTTAAGACTTTCAGGATTAATATCGTTATTATTCCAAACGAATGTAACGAAATGCGAAGGTTGAAGGAGTAAAAGATCTATGGAGTTGGTCTTGAGTGTGCTCCATTGCCAAGTGCGTTTCAATAAGAAGAACATCATTATAAGAGATTCCATGTCCAAACTTATTTGTCCAACCAATAACTTGCTTTGAGCCGGTCTTCCTTTTAATCAAAAACGAAAATGCGGTGTGTTTTGATGTGTGCTTTTGACCATTGTTAGTGTGGTATATAAGGTCTTGCCCAATTGAAGAAACTAAGCGCGAGACTTTGGCCGACTTTGCTGTTTTCTTGACAAGAATTCCTTCCAATAAACGAGTTGTCAAATTGGGAATGTGCGTTTCATTCGATAAAAATTCCTTTTCCGATGGCGGCCAACTAAAAACAACAAGATGTTGATATGAAATTTGAAATAAGCCTTTTCGGCATTCATCCTAAATAAGAGGGGAAAACATTTGCCGGGATGAATGATTTTTGCATGTCAGAGAAGTTGACAGATAAAACAGAAAATAAGATTGGAAACAATGTCTCCAGTTTTCTCATCAGTAAAACGGTTCAGGGTGAATATATTTGTATTCTTGTTTTGAGATCGTCATTTTACCTGCTATAAGTATTTGGAATTTCTAATAACTCCTTTCGGATTTCTCGCGCGACTTCTGTTGTTTTCTCCTCAAGCGTTGTGTCTTCCCATTTTTGATTTGCCAGTGTACTCGTTTCTTGGCAAGTTTCTTGTAACAAGATTTGTGATAGTAGTATTCTCTTGCTATTATGGTCTGCCAATCGACACCAGCAACTTCTGCACGTAAAGAAGGATACTCGTCATCTTTTTCTGCTTGTTGCATTAATGTTTCTGCGCCATTTTCCGTTACGCATTTTGTCAACGGCTCATATCCACTTCCAGTTCGCGCAGTCTTTTTCGTTCCACAGATGCAGCACTCGTGATCAGCCAAAATTTTACCTATATGACGACGATATCACTGTTAAGGTACATTTTCACACAACAATGCCCCACCGAGTGAGGGGGCATTGCCCCCCCAGGCCCCCCCTCAGCTACGGGCCTGTTCCATACTCGAAATAAATTTCATATTTCCTCGCAACCATGTAATATTCTCTCTATATACACGATATTTATAGAGAATAATACATGAGTGCGCGGAAATACCTGATTTATTTCGAGTGTTGGACATGATATCCCACGAGTGAGCGCAGCGAACGAGTGATATATCATGTTCAATACGAGAAATAAATCTGGTATTTCCAAGCACCCATGTATTTTTCTGTTTATTATATCAACCCATTGAGTCGCATTGCACCCTGATGCACCCTACTTTAGCATTTTACTCTGTCTAACGCCAGACGTCAAGGGGAGAGTGCTGGCGCTTAATGGGTTAAAGGACAGTCTTTGAAAAGCGATAATCTTTCCTGAAAAGCGATAATTTTCATATGTGAAATTATCATGAATAATCCCACATGTGAGATTATCACTTTTATCAGTGCTCAAAATCTCTATAAAGCACTATATTTTATAGAATAAAACGCAATAATTATACCTTGACGACCTCTCTTTCTGGACGAAGTACATGGAGTCTGCAGGATACTCTCGGCCGATGTCGACGCTTCAAGCTCAACGGTTTGAACTGTTTCCTCAGGCTCGATGACTTCCTCATTCAACTTTTCTAAAAGCCTCTTATTGGTGTATTTCTGATAACACTTCCTGTGATATCCATAATCAACTGAAGGTAGCTCTTCCCCAAAAGAATCAAGGATGGCAATAACAGTGTCATCATTCCGAAGCTGTGCAGCTCGATAAACAACTTCTCGCGACTTTTTACTAAACCTGATGCTGGGTTCATCCTTTTCAAGTTTACATTTAAGCATACATTTGCTCTTTTGGAGCTTTTTTTTTCGCTTTGGTGGTGTTAAATTCAACTTAACATCCAAGGCAATAGTTGTTTTTGTCTTTTTTGACATAATTTTGTAAAACTTTCAAAGAAAAACCTTTTAATTTGACACTTTTTCACTACACGTGCGAAGGCATGAATATTTTGCATAATAATTTGCATACTTGAAGTTTCCAGGTAGACCGCTGATCGAAATAGTGTGGACTCATTTCTTGTGCCAAAATTAGAAACAAAATGGCGCTGTTTCGAACGTGTTGAAGTCAGACAGAAAACCATGTTTAACATGTTACACAAGAAAAATCTGCCAAAACAACATTTGAAATAATTTTAAGAGACATCTAAACTACAATATTATCAACAAAAGAATTATCAACAAAAGAATTGGTCCCTCGAGAAGGTAAGTGTGCACACATTTTTGACCCTCTGCCTCCCTGACTAAAATGGCGTCGTTTTACTTTATAATAATCAGAAGGGCCATGCCTGTTTGGCTTAAAATTTCTTGCTGTTAGAACAAATATGTTGGGTATATATTAGCAGATTTATAAACTTCAATACTTAAATGGAACGATCGTGATAATTTTATTTTTAGCTGTCAAATAACAATCGGAACTATTAACTGCCTTCGAATAGGTCTAGTGTGGCTGCGATATTTAATTTGCTCCTTTACAGTTTATCTTTCATATTGCGGAACGCAAACCAATGTACACACTGTCCGTTTTTTCGCCTAAATTTGTGTTTCTTCATTAGTATATACAGGTAATTTTAGGGAAATTGTCTGACGCTACTAATACAGTGTAACAGGCCGACTGTTTTGGTTGGCGACAACAAATTCTATTAAGGGACCGATCGTTTATTACGTCTCAGGGGGCGGCGGTGGTTTTTGAGGGGGG